CCCCCCCATATTTAAAAACAATTAGTTTCCCCAGTACTAATTTCCTAAAGTAATGTAAGAGCAGAGCGGAATTTTTCAGGGTAAGGTTTTTTAATTCCTTTTAGGGGATGGGGGCCCGAAGGGCGTAGGTTAGTCCTTCTTTGTTAAGGAAAAGGATAAATTTAACTTATTCTACTTTTTAGGATTTGTTCGTCTATTCGTCTAAATATTGCGGAGAATTAATGCTAGCCTTGGACGAGAATCCCAACTGTCGAAAACTTGGTTTAGCGCAGAGATTAAAATCCATTATTCTCTCCGTATATCCACAGCAAAATATGTGCTAAATCTACCAACAGATGCCGCCACAACTCGGTGAATAAAGATGGCGCCACCACTGTACAGTGTACACAATACACAATGAGAACAATCGTTGATTATCTCAGAAACATTCGGAGATTTCTCCCCTCAAACATTCGGTGATAAAAGAATGTTCTCCGATATTGATGAAAATTTTAAAATAACTGAAATCTAACATCAGTATTAAATACCTGAATTATTGCATAATAATGAATTATTATATAATTATCGTTTTTGCATAATTATCTTTAGTTACCAATTGTTAATTATGAATTACCAAACTACAAAAGTTTCTACAGTGCAATTAGAATTAAACTTCAAAAGTTGTGATTTCCGTCACTATGGTTGTTCGATTTCGGCCTTTTTCGTAAATTCTAAATGATTTTTTTTCCCTAAGCTCGGAAATAAAATCGGACGGTGCTTGAAACGGGATTAGCTTATTAGTTGACACAATTTTATGAACGAGCCCTTTTTATAAATTTTGTCTGTTCGCTGAATAATATTGTTTTTATATATTTATATTTTGAGATGTATGCCTCAAAGCTAATCTATATATTTGTATTTAAATCTCATCTAGAGGAATTTTAACCATTTAATAAAAACATGGCTCCTTAAAATTCAGTATGTAATTTGTTATAAATTGATGTTATTTACAGGTTTTTAATCGCGGGGTATTTTTCCCGAACATTTCAATTCGGATATATTTCGCGGATTTTTTATTAAAAATATTTATCTTTTTCTTTTATAAGATTTTTTGTGTTAAATATTTTCGAATTGAATTTTATTGGATGAAAAGTGTAAATCCCCAGTTTTTAATTGTCTCAAAAAATTCAGCTATATGTGTAGGATTATATTATTAAACTAGGCAGCTTAAAAAATTGTGAAAATTTAATCAAATGAATAAATTATTAAAAGTATATTTTATTTGTTTTATTTTATGCTAAAATAGTTTGAATGTATTTAAAACAGTCAAAATTCACACCTCCTGATTTCTATGTTTTTTTAAATCAAATAATTATTTTGAATTAAAGATTAATTAAGTTTACATAAAGAAAGCAGCTTGAAAACCAAAATAAATATTTATTTTAAAAGTGCAGAGCCTGAGAGCACAGTTGAATTTAATGAATGATAATTTTACTAAAACATAATTGACTGAAATTTCCAATCAATGAACAATTATTTGAAAGTGAAGTATTACGTTAGAAATCCTTATCTTCTAAATTTTAAACAAATACAGAATGTCCCACGAATAGTTAAAAATGTCTTCTTCCATAATTTGTTAAGTTGTTTCATACTAGAGAGGACAATAAAACAATATTATATGGCAGACATAAAATGTAACTCAAGGTTTTACAGCAAGGAAAGTTAATTGCAGTCGCGTATACTCTGCGTACATATTAAAACCAGTTCTCTCTGGGCGGAATTTGTAAACAAGAATAGATGCATCAGTGTTTGTTTAGTTTCCTAGGAGGAATAAAGAATTTATATGTTTGTATAAATGGTATTTTTTCTAAAGAAAAAACAATTTTATGTGGTGTTCCTCAGAGATAATTCACATAATAGTTTCCTACGACCAGAATATGTCATTGATTTTTTATGTGAAAGATGGATCCCATGTCAGGCTGCGACATCCGTATTGTGTTTACATTACCGCCCAGAGACAGTACACTGCAGTACGAAAGATGTGCACACCTCTGAAATAACTTTCCTTGCATGATAACCTTTGTTGTATCTGATCTATACTTGCAATGCAAAGTACTACAAAGTAAAGTAGAAGAGTAGAAAGACATTATCATGGATTAAAGTTTCTCATCTCTCTGCTAAACTATGTGAAGTCTGAAGATCATCCCAAAATGATTTTATTTTAAAATCAAGTTTTATTCTTCTTGAGGTTTAAATCAATTGATGTTTCAAGATAAAAAAAGTAAACTTTCAAAAAATATTAATTTTTATAAAATTGTGTTTTTAAAGTTTAACTAAATCTTTATCAGAGACATCTACTGACAACAATAAAAACTATAAACTAACACCTGAGCCCAGCAGGCAGTAATATGCTTGCTTCTCATTGGTTCATTCCGTAGTTAAAATATTCTTTATCTTTCAGAATTAGGTCTTGATAAGAAAGTTTGTTTAGACCTGGGCATTGTTTTATTCAAAATAAATTTTTCTATTTTTCCGATAAAATCTTTGTGTGGAAAGAAATTGATGAAAAATATTTTTATCTTTATATGTAGTAAAAGCTCATATATATTTGTATGTATGTTAGCTATAGCTGGCTAAACGGCTGGACCAAATGGGCTGAAAAAAATTAGGGAACCCATAAGTGTCCGGGGAGTTACATAGGCTAAAAAAAAAATCGGCATTTTCTTTTTAAAAATCAAATTTTCCTGGGCACTTGAGCTAGTAACATACAATTATATGTTTAACTTTTTTTTACTTTTCTAATTAACACATGACCCTTACATTAGGCTCAAAGCGTGGCTTTTATACCTACTGCCTGAGGACTCAGACATACTGCCTAAATGCCTTATTTTACCTTTACCCGACTAAATCACATTTATACCTACTTCCGGATCATTGGATTTCAACTTTTTATAGCTTTTTAGAAAGCCATGAAGAAGAGGAAGCAACAACTTTTGCGAAGAAATTTTACAAAGATTTTTGCACAATGCCTTTACAGAGAATTTGCACATTTTCAGTTTTCCTTGAATGCAAATTTTCGAAAAATCCGTGCTCAGAAAACATTGAGGTTATTTGTTGCAACAAAAAAATTTAAAACGACATTCTTAACCTTATCTTCCTGAGAAAAATTGATATTAATTGTCATAAAACTTAGATACATTAGCGACATAAGAAAAAAATAGGGTTTTATAAAAAGGATCGTTTTTCGTTTTTTGAAAGTTCGAAACAAAAAACGATAGTTTTTTCGATTGTTTTTGAAAACAATTAACAACCCTAGACTCATAATATAATAAAATTAAGTTCAAAGTAAAACATATTTGACAAACAGAACTTTTTAATGAAATAAAGTGAAAAGAGTCTTTAATATCTAATACAGTATATTGAAGAAGACATTAAAAACTATTAACCAAGTATTCCTGGACAACCTGGGTAGGTAAACTGTATTCCTGGACAACCTGGGTAGGTAAACTGTATTCCTGGACAACCTGGGTAGGTAAACTGTATTTCGATAAAAGGGAATTTATGCATGGTAAAGATTTTAATTTCGATAAAATGGTAAAGATTTTAATTGAAAGCTTGTGGTACAGGGAGAACCATAGAACAGTAGAATCTCGTTGTTTTCCCTTTGTGAAATATTGTGAATTGCAATATTTCAACACCAAAATGCTCTGGATATAGATCTGGACATTGTTTGTTAACGATGGTGTCGTTCGAAAAAAAACGAATAATGGACGAACGACTTGGATTTTCAAAAATATTTTGAAAAATATAAAAAAAAATCTTTACTGAAATAACGATTTTTCGGAGCAAACTTTTGAAAAAACGAAATAGATGGGAAATTATGGATAATTTTAAGAACGAACAAAATAAATTTTTTTGAACGATTGAAAAAAACGAGCCAAACATGAGTTGCAAAAATCCAATCCTACAAATATAATAAGAAGAAGAAAGTCTCCATTTTGTTCCAATTCTCAACTTATTATTGAGTAAAATTAGAACAATTGAGAGGCAGTATAGGATCGTCATTAAAGGGAGTGACCGGCTTTGTAAGGTAGTTGAATTGAATATGCAGTGTTGTGGAAAACTTCTTTCGTATTCATTTGAGACATATTAAACTTTTTAAAGATCTGTAAATCCTGAGTTTGAGCGCAAATTTGACGTTCAAAACTCCACTACTAAGGATGAGATTTTAGAAACGCCTGTGAAGGAATTCATACGGTTTCCTTTTATTTATAGATTTCATGTACAACTGTAACTCTGTTATTTTATTAAACAAGACCAAATTCAAGGCATAATAATAATCATAATAATCGTCATATGTTTACAGTTTTAGGGTCGTCTTTGCAGTCTCGAATTTTGTAAGTAACCCTGTATATAACAATTTGATTATATTGATTGTTTTACCCTTGATATCTAGCGTTCTACTCAGTAAACAATGAAATAGAAAGACGACATTAGAGCAATTCTTAACAGGCGCGTAGTAGGGGGGGGGGGCGGTACCCCTAGGTCCCAAACTAGAGCCAGTAGCAGGCTTTAATTTATTCAACAGTAAACTTACATATATATTCAGATTTTTTTCTTTTCTTATCAATCGACAATGTCACAATTTGTCCATTATATGATTATTTCTCAAATTCTTTCTTGAACCTGAATCTTATTTACAATATTTTTTGTTCGCGGGGTTTCATTTAAAATCCATTTCAGTCGCTCAGAATTATGGTCAGATGACTAATAGTCAGCCTTCAGGTAGATTAATATAGATTTTAAACTTAATTTTTTTCTTAATACCGTTTTTTTAGGGGGGATGCACATCAACCGTTAGGGGGTGCACAAAAAAAATTCGCAAAAAGTGCACCCCCCTAGGCTAAACCTCCACTACTCGCCTGATTCTTAAGCGCTTTGATGTTGTTAAAAAGAAAATATTTTTAATAGTAACTCAGCAAAGCACAATTTAAGTGAAAAGGGTCTATTTAAACTGTACAATTACTATGTCTAATGTTCATTGAACTAGTTTAAGTCCTAACTTGAGTTTAAAAGTCGTCTTCCTATTTCAGAGTTTTCTAGTTATCACTGTAGTAGTACGGAGTTTACGGCATGTTTTGGTCAATCTAATTTACAAATAAGAATAGATAAAAATATAATCACAATATAACCCCTAGTCTTGCCATTTCTGCCCTTGTTGTGCGTTTAAAACCACTTGAAGATATGAATGATTCCATTCAAATTAGAAATTTTTCGTTTTATTAAATAAAATGAAATCTTACCAAAATTCTTTATATAATTTTGAACATAAAGGCAAACTACATTGAAGTTGTAAAAGAAAGAAAGAAATTTGTAAAGAACAAAAGAAAGTTGCAAAGAAAGAAAAAAAGTTGTAAAGAAAGAAAGAAAGTTGTGAAGAAAGAAAGAAAGTTGTAAAAGAATGGATCGGAGCAGAATGGATTTAAAGAATGGATCGGAATTGAATGGATTTAAATAATGGATTGGAGAAGAATGGATTCAAAGAATAGATCGGAGCAGAATGGATTTAAATAATGGATCAGAGTAGAATGGATTCAAAGAATGGATCGGAGAAGAAGAGATTCAAAGAATGGATCGGAGCAGAATGGATCCAACAAAAGCTATAAATCCAAATCTTAGAGTTTCTGATCCGTTACCCATATCTGTGTAAAAAATGTATCGTTAAAGAAAAACAGTTTATGTTCATTTTGTTTATTTATATAAATAATAAATTATGCATACTTGCTGAATCGAAGTCCATGTTACAACCGTTAATGTTACATCTACAGGTTTTCTACAAAACAAACAATTATTAAAATATTGACACAGGACAGGACACAGGACAGGACACAGGACAGGACACAGGACAGGACACAGGACAGGACACAGGACAGGACACAGGACAGGACACAGGACAGGACATTTAAACCATTCACCAACTGTCATGTTTCGTGGGACACCCTGTAGGAAACTATCATCCCACCTGGTATTCTCCCTTACTGGTTCTCTTGTACCCACCCGCCTTCTAACTTTACTGTANGACACAGGACAGGACACAGGACAGGACACAGGACAGGACACAGGACAGGACACAGGACAGGACACAGGGCAGGACACAGGACAGGACACAGGACAGGACAGGACACAGGACAGGACACAGGACAGGACACAGGACAGGACACAGGATAGGACACAGGACAGGACACAGGACAAATTAAAATAAATAAAATATGCCTCTTTGTCGTTCATCCAACATCCTTGGTCCGGATAACTAGTTTTCTCACAAAATTTCTTCACATATTTGTCCCCATCCACTTTAAAACATATTCAAAACATTTACATTAATCGAGGTCCTGGAGGTCCTGGAGGTCTATTTGAGAAATTCCACTTCCTTCAACCAGAATAGCATACATATTGGATGTTAAAACGTCTTTAAAAAAGACGTTTTTCTCTTAAGTCAACATTGCACGGACGAAAACCGGTTTTTTTTGATGATTTTTGATCATCAAAAATTAAGATTTTGAAAATTCTTTTAAAATCTACCTCCCCCAATGTCCCAAAAAACGCTCTTTATGTACTGCAGCTCTCAACACGGTTTAATTTTTTAATTCTTGACATACATACCTTTTCAGTTCAAAGTTTGACACTTTGGCTTGGTTGACTTTGTAAATCCATACCTCAATTTTTCATGCATATCAAATAGATTGTCAAGTACAATAGATGACAACGTAGAATTTGTTCATTTACAGCCAACTGTATTCTTACGCCATAAGTGTCAACTGAGTTTTTGTGCCTATCAAAATTATTAATAATAGATATAATTTTGGATTAAGTGCTCTTATTACAGTAAAATTAGTGCATTTTTATTTGTTCTTTATTTTCTGTTTTTATATTTTTTATTTAAACTTGAAAAACATGTCAACTATTGTGAGAAAATTTCCTGAAAACGATTATATCCCACATGAAACCTGAATATCTCAGGTTTGCCCCCATTATAATTTTTTATTTTGCATTTTTAATAGATACAATTGATATTATTATTTAAAAGTCCGTATTACGTCACAAGAACTTCCGCCAATGAGAGTGCAGTATACTGGTCACGTGATACAGACGGAAATAGCGTGACCAGTATAATGCACTGCCATTTTGCTGAAGTTATGGTGACGTTATACGGGCTATACGGACTATATGTAATAATCTTTATAATCAAGTATGTCTTTTGAAAATGCAAAATAAAAATTAAATGATTATAACAGGAGCAAACCTGAGGTTCTCAGGTTTCTGTGGGATATCGTCGTTTTCCAATTCATGGTTTCGTATTTGTTGAATATGATCTGTTTTATACTACAACTTTTATACAAAATTGCATATATATAAATTTGACACAGTTTTTTCATCAATTTCTCGAGACAGGAACATCAGATAGATGTCTGATATTATATGTATCGTTCAACGCCTGAAATACTCAGGTCTCATCCTATACACCATTTCATTTTTCCTTTACAGTCCCTTTAAATAGATTTAGAAAATGTAAAAAATTGTAAAAATTGATCCATAGTGAGAACTGCAGTACCTAAGAACAGCCTGTACACTGTAAAGTTTATTAACTGTACACTGTAAAGTTGTACAACTGTACACTGTAAAGTTGTACAACTGTATACTGTAAAGTTGTACAACTGTACACTGTAAAGTTGTATAACTGTACACTGTAAAGTTGTACAAGTAATTATCACATTGTGAATGTATCAATCACAATCTAAGGCAATCAGCTCAATTTCAAAATAAAGTGTGATGATTTTTATTACGGTGGTAGGCGATTTTATTAATATAATGAAGACGACTTTTGTTTTCAATTTTGAATTATATCATGCTTTTCAACAATATCTACACACAAAAATGGAAACAAAGAAAAGCTGTCAATTAAAAATACTTTTCTTTAATTACTTGTAAATTTGTAATTCGAAAAAAGCTGGTTAACAATTAAAACTTAAATAAAAAAGTCGTCTTCATTATATTGCTATAATCGCCTGTCACTGTATTATATATTATAATTATACCTTCATGTATTTTACAAGCATTTTCATCAGAAGGGCATGCAATCAATGCTCCTGAGAAGAATATTTTTAAAAGGGACTGATAGCGTGATGCAAAGAGGGTCATGCCCGATTTTCAACGGTACCCTTTTGTGTACAGAGATATGTGTGTTTAAACTTATCGAAATCAGCTGCAAATTCAAGTAATTTTTTGTCCAAAATATAAATTGTCAATTGTTAACCATTAAAGGGACTTTAAGCGTGGCCCTTCAGGCAAAGATGGCACTGCCCGATTAACAAGGGTACCCTTGAAATCTTTGTTTGATATTCAATAACGAGGATCGGAAATGTAAAAATGAAATTTATTTTGTTCGCAAATGATAAAATTAAACATGGTCAATAAGAAGTGTTCAAGCCCTTCGAGAAGTATACAATTTTTCAACCTTCTCAAAAATTACTGGTTCAATAAATCTTCCTAGCTGAGCTTTAAACTTCAAACATAACATTGATTGACAACTTAACTTCTGCTGGGTTTTTGGTTTATATAACAATTGACAAATCTGGGATAAATACAATTAGCTACAATTAAATCCTAAATAAGCCATATATCGAAAGAATTTATCAAATGACGTCTTGACAATTTTTCAATGGGTTTTTTACTATTTCTCAGTATTTGCGAAAATAAATAGAGTATGCGGGAACAGATTTAAAGAGCTCCATATAATCATTTAATTAAAAAACTAAATATCTGTAACATTTCATTATCAGAAAGTGAAGAATACGACATTTGATGAATTATTTCGATGTATGGCTTATTTAGGGCTTAACTATATCAAAAATGACGGCACGAAAAAAAAGTGCGCGCGCGTTAATTTTTTTGTTTATTCATTGTTTATTAATTTCCCATTTGTAAAATTTTTTTGAAATAGTTTTTAAAATGTGTCTTGGTTAATTTTCTTTCTAAATCGTTTGTTTAGATGCACACAAGGTTCGTTCAGTCAATTTGTTTGTTCGTTACAATCATTTGTTCAGTTTATTCAGCGAAATTGTTTGTTCATTCAAAGAAAGCCTAAACCAATTAGCAACATCTCATTGTACAAAAACTTTCAAAAAATACATTTTGCGCATTTTCTCAAAAAGCTTGCAAAATCTGTAGTCTGTTTAAAATGTTTAAAATTTTAGAAATTCCCTTTCGAAAATATGCGGGGCCTTGTACTAACCTACATCTCCTTTTGTGAGACATCTATTGCAATGATAACACTATAAAAAAGAAAATCAATAATAACACTAAAAAAATCAATAATTTCACTATAAAAAAGAAAATCAATGATAATAATAAAAAAAAAGAAAATTAATGATAACACTATAAAAAAGAAAATCAATGATAACACTATCAAAAAAGAAAATCAATGATAACACTAAAAAAAGAAAATCAATGATAACACTATAAAAAAAAAAAAATCAATGATAACACTATAAAAAAGAAAATCAATGATAACACTATAAAAAAAAATCAATGATAACACTAAAAAAAGAAAATCAATGATAACACTATAAAAAAGAAAATCAATGATAACACTATAAAAAAGAAAATCAATGATAACACTGTAAAAAAGAAAATCAATGATAACACTATAAAAAAAAGAAAATCAATGATAACACTAAAAAAAAGAAAATCAATGATAACACTAAAATAAAGAAAATCAATAATAACACTAGAAAAAAGAAAATCAATGATAACACTAAAAAAAAGAAACTCAAAGTTAACACTAAAAAAAGTAAATCAATGATAACACTATAAAAAAAGAAACTCGAAGTTAACACTAAAAAAAGTAAATCAATGATAACACTATAAAAAAAGAAACTCAAAGTTAACAGTAAAAAAAGTAAAAATCAATGATAACACTATAAAAAAGAAAATCAATGATAACACTATAAAAAAAGAAAATCAATGAAAACACTATAAAAAAGAAAATCAATGATAATACTATAAAAAAGAAAATCATTGATAACACTAAAAAAAAGAAAATCAATAATAACACTAAAAAAAGAAAATCTATAAAAACACTATAAAAAAGAAAATCAATGATAACACTAAAAAAAGAAAATCAATGATAACACTTAAAAAAAAGAAAATCAATGATAACACTATAAAAAAGAAAATCAATGATAACACTGTAAAAAAAAATCAAAGATAACACTAAAAAAAAAGAAAATCAATGATAACACTAAAAAAAGAAAATCAATAATAACATTAAAAAAAAGAAAATCAATAATAACACTAAAAAAAAGAAAATCAATGATAACACTGAATAAAAAAGAAACTCAAAGTTAACACTAAAAAAAGTAAATCAATGATAACACTATAAAAAAAGAAACTCAAAATTAACACTAAAAAAAGTAAAAATCAATGATAACACTATAAAAAAGAAAATCAATGATAACACTATAAAAAAGAAAATCAATGATAACACTATAAAAAAGAAAATCAATGATAACACTATAAAAAAGAAAATCAATGATAACACTATAAAAAAGAAAATCAATGATAACACTATAAAAAAGAAAATCAATGATAACACTATAAAAAAGAAAATCAATGATAACACTATAAAAAAGAAAATCAATGATAACACTATAAAAAAGAAAATCAATGATAACACTATAAAAAAGAAAATCAATGATAACACTATAAAAAAAAATCAATGATAACACTAAAAAAAGAAAATTAATGAACACTATAAAAAAGAAAATCAATGATAACACTAAAAAAAAGAAAATCAATGATAACACTAAGAAAAGTAAATCAATGATAACACTATAAAAAAAGAAACTCAAAGTTAACAATAAAAAAAGTAAATCAATGATAATGTAGCGGGGAAACAGTTGGATGATCTTTCCCTGCAATCAGGGGGAACGAATCCCTTTGCTCCACCCCCTATTTGAACTATGAATCCTAACGGATTTATTCAGAAAGTTTACTGTTTGGTCTATTTATAGGCCAAGCCAAGCTAATCTGAATAAATCTGTTAGAAGGAAGAGTCTGAGGGAGAGGTGGGCTAGCCCACCGGCCCCAGACGCAGGGTTAACGGGAGCGAGGCTAGGGTGAGACCAAGTGGAGTTTTGATAATCAGTTCTCCAGGATCACAAGATAGGAGAGGAAGGAGGAGAAGTTGTTCATATTACCCTGCCTGATTCTGTTGACTCTCATTTTGTATAGTATCATTAGTAGTTAGATTTGTGTTGTAAATAATAAATTATGAAAACCGATTCTCTGAAGATATAAATTAAGGTTTATTGTTGCAGCTTTATTTTATCATATATTAGATGGTGACATGTTCGAAAAATTGGATTTCCTTTGAAATAGCAACAAACCTTTTTTTGTATATTCGGCGAAATAGTTTTCTCGCTTTTCGGTCCACCCTAACCGTAATGCTAGAGTACTATCGGTAGAGTATGCGCATTACGCGGCATTGAAAATAGACGCAAACTAAACCTGCCTCAGTTCTATACTACACTCTAGCTTGTGAATATTCAATCTGAATCTGAGGTAAACAGCACTTTTCGTTAAATTTCCGAATTCCCATTGCAAATTTTTTTTAAAGAAATGGCGCATTTATTTTCAACGTACCGACCGGAGTTAGGTATAACAAGAGTTAAGTTGACATGTTAAGTAGACAGATGGACAAAATGTTCTTTCAATCCAAATCGTTTGTTGACCACTACATTGTTGTTTTTTAATAGGATGGATAACGATGTACCGGCGCAACCGGAGAACGCAGAAAGACTGGGCTGGTTCTTGTCCTGGTTGAAAGATGTGTTCTTGCCAGCCCACAAGAGCCCCGTGGACCAACAACTGGAGGAGTTTTCTGACGCTTTGGATAGGATTCCCGACCTGGATCAGTCTGTGCGAAGAACGTTGGCCTCCACCCTAACCAATGAAGCAAGAATCGGAAATGCGAAAATCCAAGATAAGAATAAAATTCAGCAAATCCTGAAGAACCAAACCCTCCCTGCTACGGAATCCGGAACCTCGATGCCCTGGAGTAAAATTTCTGACAATGAGGCAAAGATAATCTCAAGAATGATAGAAGGATTGAAAATTCAAGACTTCTCGGAAAAGTCCATCAAGCATTGGTCCCTGTTTTTTGCTGATGTATTCGATAAGGCATTTATTACATCTAGGAGGGGGCACATAGCAGTCGTATACAATACCTGCTCCCTCAGCCTAAAGAACAGATTGATGAGCTTGGACGCCGGTAAAGATGCAAGTGATGAATCATATACGTTCCTGAACCTGCTGCAGCTGATTACTACTATTGTTCACTCGCCGGATTCGAGAGATCAAGCCATGATGACCCTACATAGCGGAATTACTCAATCAAGTACGGAAAGCCTTCAAGCGTTCCTGCAGCGTTTTAATGAGCTAGGAGAAGAAGCCTTTGGCCCGAGTTCAAACTGGACGATGTCGCAAGCCTCTCTAATTATGAAGAAAATATGTGAAGGACTCAAGGCAGTGGAACTCTCTAGACTTGCAGCTTCTATTGTTATTACTACTCCGTTCAATTGGTCTAACGTTTGCGACTCAATAAAGCAACTTCAACAGAGAACCAGTAACACACACCCGCAGCAAAATGTCCATGCCATCGCTGTTCCACAAAGGGAGAAGAAGACAATCTCCTGCTATAGATGTGGGCTGAACCATCTGCTCAAAGATTGTAGAGCATTGGTCTGTAAGTATTGCGGCGAGGGGCACAAACACTGCTCAAGATATGGAGAAAGAACCTATTGTTCCACATGTAGATCTAAATTTCATAACAAAGAGGGACATTTTTGGTATGCTCCTGATGCTGTGAAACCCAGGAAAGCTGACATCAACGTGATCGAGGCCACGTCGTTCCTAGAAGGTGCTGTATCAATGGACATGGAAAATTCAGGTGAAAATTTTATAAACACAAAATTGCTCGTAGATACTGGCACCCTGATTCCGTCAGGCGTGGGTATCAGCGAGCAATTTTTCATAGATAAGCTAGGGGGTAAAGTAGGGCAGCTAGTACTGTCGGATTTAAACTCTGCAAATGGGGCTAGTTCAAATTTGATGATGAAAACAGTAGGTCAGTTGAAGGTAAACCTTAGGTTTGAAAGCTTGTCTAAAATCTTTTCAGGTTCAGCTGTTATTTTAAGAGATTTATCATTACCAGTTATAATTGGGATAAATTTCTTAAAATCAAACAGTCTGAGCCCAGTCTAGAACCAGGTTCAGCTCAGATAGTTCACAGACCCATAAGGAATCATAAGGAAGTGAAACGAGCGCCAGGACCTCATTGCAAATATAAATAATAATAGATCACGCCCCTTTAAAAAAAAAAACAGAAAATTTGTTGCAAAGTCAACCCCCCACCCCGTAAGAAACATCCCCCCCCTTCTCAAGAATTTGCAATAGATAATGAAGGTGCACCGATTTTACTTATAACATCAAAAAACTTCGTTACGGTGCCTAAGAAAACAACGCAAGCAGTAGAGTGTAATGTTCCCGTCAATCCAGCTTCTCTTATTAACATACAACCACTTGACGAGGAACTCCTTGATGGTGCTCTACCTGCTGTCTATCGTCATAAAACCCAACACAAAGATAAGTCACTTGTAATTATGTACACTAATTTGTCAAAAAAGGATGTAAATATTTCACCAAATCAATTAATTGCAAACGGGTCCATGATTTTCGAATCTAAATCTAAGTCCAAAGTAAATGTAATTAAAACAGGGGTGAAAGATCCTGCGGTCACGGAAAGAATCTGGGCAGATTTAAAATTACATGAGAACAAAATTTTGCAAGCAAATCCGAAAATAGGAAAATTATTACATTCAATGATAGATGAAAATCAGGATATTTTTACCACTGAGGACTGTAAAGTGGGCTAAATTACCTGGGAAACATTTAAAATTGAATTAATACCTAATGCCTGACCTGTAAATCAAAGAATGAGACCGATACTGCCGAATCTTAAAGATAATTTACGCGCGCAACTTGATTTATGGTTAAAAAATGAAGTCATTGAGCCAAGCTCGTCCCCCTGGTCCTCGCCCCTGGTCCCCGTGACCAAGAAGACCGGGGAGACGAGGTGGGTTTTGGATTTCCGCCGGGTCAATGACCTCTCCGTGACCGATAGTTTCCCCACAGAAGGTGTTAAATTAATACCCTTTTATGTTCAGAAAATTACAGAATGGCCGCTGCCTCAGACTGGGAAAGAATTATCTGCATTTTTAGGTTTCACTAATTATTATCGTGATTTTTTACCAGGTTTTGCGAACGTAACGGCTGAACTAAATAGTGTCAAAAATAACAAGTTGATTGTATGGACACCAGATATGATAAATAATTTTAATACTTTAAAGCAGATGTTTGCAGCAGCGCCATGCAGAGCCACGCCTGACTTCTCTCCAACCACTAATCCTTTCATTTTAACCATAGATTTCTCTAAAACCGCAATTGGTGCTGTTCTGTCTCAGGAGCAAAATAATGTTGAAAGATTTTTAGGTGTAAAAGGGAGAAAACGTAGAAATTATGAAAGTAACTACCATAGCTCTAAGGGTGAGCTCTTAGCACTCTGTTATGGGTTAACTAAATTTGAATCATTGTTAAGGTTGAATCAGTTCATTGTCGTGACAGACTCCACCACAGTGCTTCATTGGTCTACTATGAAGGACTCCGGAGGAACTATCAGGCGATGGCTAGATTTTATACAACAATTTAACTTTAAAGTTATGCATCGGGCAGGTAAAACAAATATTAATGCCGATTTGATCTC